CCCCTCTGGGGGGGCCCCCCCCCCCCCCCCGTTTCTTCCTGTATTCTCCCAGGATCGACTTTTGTCACAGTGAAGGTAGTAAAGGACAACCACAGCTTCTTCATCCATATCATAGACCCCAAGGAAATTCCAAAAGAGAGTGGAAACCACCAAGGAAGTAGTGACTGGAAGAGAGGCAAACTGATCCAGGTCAGTTAGTGTCTCATTGTTAGCTATATCAGGCATAATAGTCCATAATAATCCATAATAATATGGGTTACAGGAAAGTGACTATTTTACTATTGAAACACAAACTTAGCTTTGTCTTCTTCTTTTTCCCCCTTATAGAAAAATCTGTAGATCCAGATAAAGCTGTGAGCAAATTCGGATCGTTTTCTGCCACCTTAGAAAATGATATTCACCTTTCCTTTAGCTGCTATGGACCTGAAGGAAAAGCCCCAGGTAAGACAAGCAAGAGGAAGAAGGTTCTCAAGCTCCAGTTGCCTCTGAAAAAGTGAGCAGTGTGGCGTCCTTCCTTTTGGGAGGGCCTGTTTTTCCTTTCATTCATACTCTGTGACGTGCTAGCTTATGGGGGAAACAGTTTTACTTTTTAATTCACACTTTGTGTATATGACCTTGGTAGTTTCTGCTGCCACCAGGAATTTAAAATTCCAACTCTCTCTCGTTTGGTAGTGTTACCCAGGGTCTGGGCACTTCAGAGGACTATGTGGCCCTGAGGAAGTCCTGTACTGAATTCTGGGATATTTAAACAACAATGGATTTATTGAAATAAGAACAAAATAGGTTTCTGGGAAAAGGAACTTGTAAAATATAACTAGCAAGCTTGGTGTCACACCAGTCTCTCAGGCACCAAGATTCCCTCTGAGAGGATTCTCTCTCTTTCTCATATATGTAGCCAAACCAGCTAAACTCTTTGACTTTTCCACACGAGATAAAACATTGGTCTAATCACACAGTGTAGACACAGCTCATTTCTTTTCCCCATAGACTCTCTCACAATACTTTTAGACAGGGGTCATTTCCTGCAGCAGTGCACAGGAGCGGAGCTCCGGCAGTAAAGCGCCCAGGGGGCGGGCACATCTAACAAGCCCCGCCCCCTGCTCCCATCAGCTCCAGGCCACGAGGAGCAAGAAGCAGCCAGGTAAGTTGCAGAGCCTCCCCTCCGCCCACGCTGAGGCGCAGAGCCCAGAGAAGGCCTCCGGAGCCCTGCCATCCACCTTTCCCGGCACCTGCGGGGGTGGTGGCGGTGGCAGGGGCTTGATTGGGGGGAGGCCATGGGGGATCTGTGAGGGCAGATCTGCCCTCCCCCCCCCCACATAGCTAGCAATCCAAAACAGTTCAGTGGAGCCTGAGCAGTGGGTGTTGCCTTCTGACACACTTCTGGTGATGTCAGGGGGAGTGGCATATGCAAATAAGTTATGCTAATGAATTATGCTAATGAGCTCCTGCACCTCTTTTTCTATGAAAGGACCCCTGCTTTTAGATTTCCACTGGCTCTCTTTTAAGATTTTCACACTTCACTCTCCAAAGACACACACAGAACACTTTCTGAACTCCGTCATAAAACACACACACACCAAAATAGGGAATCATTACAAGCAGTGACTCACGAAGGCTCCTGCCCTGCTGCAAATCTTGTTAGTCTTTCAGGTGCTCCTGGGCTCTTGCTCTTTACTGCTGCTATAGGCAGACTTAACACAGCCACCCATCTTGAGCTATCTCCAATTGCAAACTCTACTTCCTCTTTCTGTATTGTCTTCCAATGATTTTTCGCAATAGCTACCACTTTGGGGGGGGCATTCTTCAGCCACTGGGATTACGCGGATAGAATTTAGGATTCGGTTTTCTTTTTTCTTCTTCTTTTTTTGCCCCCCAAAGGGGATTTTTTAAATTTGCATTTCTAAAAACAACCACATAACTCTAACGAAAAAAAGGGTGGGGGAGACTACAAACTATGGGAAACAGAGAAGAAGGCACTAAAAGCACAAGTGTAGAAGATTACATATGCTTATAACGATAAAAAAATTGTAACCCTTAACAGTTAACTTCCAACATGAGGAGTTTCCTCGATCATCGCTACAATTAGTATCCAGCTTGCTGTCTAGACAGAGAATAATTCCAAAGCTAATTAAAAGAAATATAGAGACCTTAAAAGACATTGACCTCTCCCATTACACTTTCCCTCCCTCCCCACTAGCACGACGTTGTGGAGCCAAGATTCTCTCAGTCCATACAGTCATATCAGTTAATCCTCTTCCTTCTCTGTTAAATCTTCTTTCTTGAACCGCTTTAAAGAAACAGGCTTTGTCCAGTTAGTACCGCTTTCCTTTTTCCAGGACTTTCACTCACTTATTGCTTCATACACATTCTGATTAAAGAGACCAACCATTCACTTTGCATGCAAACTTTATGGCACAAGAGTAGTCAACTCTTCGTTATCGTTTTATGATCCGCTTGCAACCATCCTTTATAAGCTAGACACGGTCTCAATTTCTACTATAATCCAAGGTTCGCCGCTTCTTGAAGTAAACACTGTCCCTTTAAAAGTACCGCCACATTTAGAGCCGTTCCTGTCGAATATCCCACTTTAGCCAGCAGATGGCACTCGATTATAAGCTATAGGAAGAGTTTATGGCTAGGTCACCTGACCTAGCGCTCCGTTTTTCTTCTTCCTGAGAGGAGCTTGGGTCCCACCTCCCTCAAAGCCTTTGATCGCCATCTTGGAGGATTGTTTACATTTACTGATTAAAGTTGCCAAAGTCTCAACGGTCTGTAAACGCTTATATTTGAAAAAATTCTCTGATCTAGTTCTTCTACTGTAATCCTTTGCTACTGTTAGCTCAGTCCCCCATTGTCCCGCTTCTTTCGATCGCTTGAGGGGGTAGGGCATCCCCTTGGGCTTCGCAACAGGGCTCCGATGTCTCGCTTTAACTTAAACTCACTCATCCGTCTTCAAAACGATCCAACAGGTCTCCCTGGGATCTTGCTAGGCAGAGTAGAATCGCCAAACCTTCATACGCTTGTCCCGGTGGTCGCTTCGAGTCCAATACTGGGAATCAGGGCAGGACCTTCGGGGCAGAGAGTAGCCCCCCTGTACTGGCTGTTGGCTGGAGGTAGGGCTCTCCAAAGCCCCCTGGCTAGGAGCCCGTTGCCTATGGGCTCCATGGGGGAGCGCGCACAATCGCGCTCCCTCCTAGTCCCCGATTCATGGCACACGTCTCTCGGAGGAGCGGAGAGACGCGGCCATCACTGAAGCGCCGAAAACCAGAAGTCAGGATTTGGTTTTCAAGCTGCGTACAGTTCTTCCCCGGGTGGGGGTTGGGGGTTGGGGAGCTTGCAAGGCTCTCTCAGCATCCAGGGAGTTTGGAGAATGCTCCCGCTTTCGCCGCATCTGTTTCCCCAGTCTCTTCTCTAGGGGCATGTTACCCATCCGGCATGATCCTTTACATGAACAGAGCCAAGCTCCCACTCCAAAATCAACCGGACCCACTGGACTCATACATTTCCAGATAGCCTGCTGGAGAGACATGCCACACACTTGCACACAGACCCCACAGCTGGAGGTAGCCAACCTGGGTTCAGGAGAGGTTCAGGACTGGTTCAGTCCTTTTCAACGGTAGCTAACGCTCCGTGCCAGGCATCATCATACCTCTAATCCCCTTCTGAACAGAACCATTCCTCCCACTCAGTAAAACAGTTCTGTCCTTTCAAATATATGCCAGTTAACTTGCATCAGGGGAATGGAATGGATATGCACAGGTTAGAGAGACCGGACTGAGAGATCTTTACATCCTCTCCCAAAATACTAGAACTCAGGGATGTCCAGGGAGGAGGAGGAGAAGAAGAAGAAGAAGAGATTGGATTTATACCCCTCCCTTCACTACCCAAAGGAGTCTCAGAACGGCTGACAAACTCCTTTCCCTTCCCTTCCCCTCAGAATCACAGTTCGCAATGAATGCAGATGTGCTGCCATCAACCATCACCTATAATTTTTTTTAAAACCCACAGAATTGGTTCTCTACAACTGCCGTGCTCTAAATATCATCTGGCCACTTGGCTCTTGGCCAGCAAAACTGCAGATATCAGGGCCAAACTACATGACATGGTTTTTGGTGAGTCAGATTGAAGTTGCTTTCCCACCGCCACACAGCAGCTTCGGGAAATGTCATTTTTAAAGTCTGTGGGAGTCCGATTTAAGAAGAGGAGGAAGAGATTGGATTTATACCCCTCCCTTCACTACCCGAAGGAGTCTCAGAGCGGCTGACAAACTCCTTTCCCTTCCCCTCCCCCACAACAGACACACCCTGTGAGGTAGGTGGGCCTGAGAGAGCTCTGACAGAAACTGCTCTTTTTCAAGAACAGCTCTTATCAGAATTATGGCTTGCTCAAGGTCATCCAGCAGGTACAAGTGGAGGAGTGGGGAATAAAACCCAGTTCTCCCAGATTAGAGTCCGCGCACTTAACCACTACATCAAACTGGCTCTCAACATAACAGGCAGTAGATTCAGGACAGACAAAAGGAAATGCTTCTTTATGCGAGGAGTGTTAAAAATGTGAAATCCAGTGCCGAAGGATGAAGTGATGACCACAGGCATAGATGCCTTTAAAAGGGGGATTAGACAGATTCATGGAGGAGAGGTCCATCAGTGGCTGCTAACCACGGTGAGTAAAGGGGGACCTCCACATCCAAAGGCAGTCCACCCCTGAATACCAGTGCCAGGAGGCAACATCAGACATCTGTGAAACACGATGCTGGAGTAAATGGACCACTGGGCTGATCGAGCTGGGCTCTTCTTATGTTCACGAGTGATGTATTTCCATAAATGAAATGCCCGCAAGACGTATGCAAACGTAAACAGAGAAGCTTTCCTGTGAACTATGCTGTCTGGAGGCACAACCGGCAGGGGCAAGCGGCCGTAGCTGGGGTAAAGGCGATGCTTTTTTCATCCACCGAGAGCACAGAAATAACTGCTGGCAGCAACGGGTTGTATACACACGTGGAGCCCGTTTTCGCACAAGGATTTCTCCTGTGTACGAAATTACGGTTCGCGTGTCTGAACAGGTACAAAGAGTCAACTAATATTAGACGTACATTCAGATTGTAACTAACAGGGCAGAATATCACTATAAGGCTTTTAGGCATCGGCTCACTACATGTTGCAGTTTTTTAAAAATGTTTTCTTACTTGTGTTTCCAAGACACAACAGTGTCACCAGTATGTGTGCATTTCCTTGTCTCCCGCACAGCCTAAAGCTTGTTTCCCCCTCCCCTGCAGAAAAGAAAGATCCCAATTTAGCAGCCGTTCTGTCCTTCCCTTCCGTAAACGTGCCCACGTCCAACTTTGCTGCCTTGGCTGTCTCCACCGCCGCGGCTCCCACGCCAGGAAAGAACAAGCCCGGGAAGGAAAAATCCGCCAAATCCTTACAATCGAGCAAAATGAGCTCTCGCCTCACAGTTACCGGATCGCCGGAAGACGGTTTGAAGCAAGAAGAGAAAAAGGTGTGAGTGTGGGCCGGTCCAAGGTCTTTTGTCTCCCCAGCCAAGGTACACCCATCACCTCCTGGTCTCAGGTCGCAGCCAGTCCCCTGGCAGTGGTGCAGGCCCAAAGGGGGTGCCAGGCACTCCCTTTGCCGCTAAGGGTCGGGAGCGAGCCGAGCCCTGCGATGCATCATTGTGCCACCTGAACAGGGGTCATTTCATAGAAAAAGAGCTAGGGGAACTCATTAGCATAACTCATTAGCATATGCCACACCCCCTGACATCAGGGGCCCGGCGGTGGACCTGCAAGGCCGGCGGGAGTGCGAGGAAGCCCCGCCAAGGCCCTCCCTGGCCCCAGGCAGGCAGGGGTGGGGAGAGGCGGGGAGGAAGCAACTTACCCTCCCTCTTCTCCTGCCTCCTCCTGGCTGAATGAGGGCTGGAAGCGGGGCGGCCGGAAGCAGGGGGCGGGGCTTCGTCATGTGCCCCGCCCCCTGCACCTCACCCGGGGGAACTGCATTCCCCCGCGTTCCCCCCCGAAATGACCTCTGCACCTGAAGCGGTCCATCGGGTGGCTTGGCCCAAGAACTGGCCCTGAGGCCAGCCTCATTCACTCCTGTCGCCACAGCAGGGCTGGAAGAAGAATTCAGAAATCACTGAGGTTCAGCCAGGCAACAGGGGGGCGAGAGGGTTGGCTCTTGTTCCCCATGTCTACACTGTTTTAATTCCAAAAGAGATCCAACCACCCCCTCCTACAGACTTTAGAGCAGTGGTGCTTTGCGATGTGGGAGCCACTTGTGGCTCTCTGGCATGCCACGTGTGGTTCTTCTGAGCTCTGTCCCCCAGTGTGGCACCCGCTGCACATTTCAGGGAAATGGGCATGGCCCTTATCTGGTGGGGCTCGTGGTTAGCAGGTGGTCTCCACCTTGCGACAGGCACTGCTGGAGGAATGGGTGAACTGCAACCCTCCCTGAGGTGCAGGTCTCATGTCAAAGATGGTGGTCTGCGTGGATCTTCCGTCTGGTGGGCGATTGTGAATCTGGCTCTCCAGGAGCCGTGGCGTGAGACTCGTGGCTTTAGAGATTAACAGGTGGATAAGCAAACACGGATCCCCCTGCCCCATCTAGTTTGGCCTGTAAATAGTCGCTAAATTAAATAGCCCCAGAGCTAGAGGTGAGTCTGTTTGTTTGCAAAGGCGTGAGGTTTTCTGTTCAATTCTTTAGGTGGAAGTAGACGAGCCAATCCAGCCACCACCAGCCACGCCAGAAGTCCGTGTTTTCAATACTTTGAATGTGTCCTGTCCCAATGGCTTGGTACTCACCTTCATTGGTAAAAAATTCCCAGGTTGGTTCTGTGCTGTATTATGTGAATGCACCATTCTTTTTTGGGGGGGGGAAGTTAAAGTGCTGCGTTAAAAAAAAATGAGTGTAGAATTTGATTCTAGCTAGGCAGGAGTTCTGAGCCATTTGAATGGTCCATAATAAACATCATGACAAATATGGAGGGGGGGCTTGATTGTTTGGGAGGGGGCATGCAGCAGAGGGAAGACAAAAACTCACTTTCCGTCCCTCTTCTGCTCCCTGCTCCGTCTTCCTGTAGTGACCCAGATCAGCCAAGATCCAGGTTAGGCTACTATAAGGGTGTGATCCCACGACAAGCTTACCGTGATTTGTTCCCACTTTAGATTTGATTGGGAATATTTTTTTTCGGGTTGGGATGACCACACATCCCTCCCTAAACCGCTTGCATCGCGCAACGAGGCTCTGGGCACCATTCAGATAGCTGCGCTGCCACTTGGGCGGCTTGGCTTGTGGGTTTTTTAAAAAAAATTGGTTTTGTGCATGCACATATACACATGGCCGAATCACCGCTCCCACTGGGACTCGCCATACTCCCTTGTTCTTGCAGCCACCCCCCCCCCCCCCCGAACAGCAAACAAAATTAACGGCAACATACAACTGAGCGCTGGAGTCTATATGTGCGCTTGAACATTTATACACTGAATTTATTCAGCGCAGGATTGCTCATGCGCACGACAGAAGCGTGTAAAAAAATTGCGATCATTGCAAGATATGGCTGTCCAGATTGGCGAAATCACGGATTCAAAGCGCAGATATCTGGAAAGTACTTAATTTTCTGGGTGTAGGAAAACTCACTAGGGAACGGGGAGGATTGCGCGAGTGAGCCCACTTAGTTGCGGGAGACGGATGCGGCCATCTGATCAGCAATTTTAAATGCGAGAGGGAGCAGCGGTGAACCCCGATCAAAATCATCGTGTGACCACAGCCGAAGGCACTTTTACATGGGACTGCCTTTGAAAGCTTTTTGGCAATTCCACATGGTCCAAAATATACCAGTCAGGTGATCGTCAGGGGCTGGATACAGGGACTGTATCATCCCTGTGCTGAAAGGCCTGCAGTGGCAGCCTGCTTGATTCTGAGCGCAGTTCAGAGTGCTGGTTCTTTAAGGCTGGGATACTGGAAAGACCGGCTCTTCCTGTACTGTTCAGCCCACCAGTTAAGACGCTTTTCCTAAGCCCCGCTCTCTGTACTCCCACCTGCAGAGGTGAGAAGACGGCAGCCAAAAACAGCATTCTCAGTACTGGCACCCTTGTTTCGGAATGCCACCCCCTTGAGGCTCATTTGGTTCCTGTCTTTCTGTCCTTTAGGTCCCACACCAAAGCATTTCCCACACCAGTTTGGTGTAGTGGTTAAGTGTGCGGACTCTAAACTGGGAGAACCGGGTTTGATTCCCCACTCCTCCACTTGCCCCTGCTGATGTGACCTTGGGTCAGTCACAAGCTCTGGCACAGCTGTCCTTGAAAAAGAGCAGTTTGTGTCGGAGTTCTCTCAGCCCCACCCACCTCACAGGGTATTTGTTGTGGGGAGGGGAAGGGAAAGGAGTTTGTAAGCCGCTCTGAGACTCCAAGTGAAGGGCAGGGTATAAATCCAATCTCCTCCTCCTCCTCCTCCTCCTCCTCCTCCTTCTTCTTCTTCTTGTCCGGGGTTTTAACTGAAGGATTCCATTTTTATAAGCTGTTTCCATGACCGGGCTTCTAGTCTGAGCGCTGTTATAAGGGCATCATCGTAGGCTGCTCCGTGTTTTTATGGCGTATTTGTCTTAGCTTATTTTAATATCGATAAATCGCTGGCTCGGTCTTAACTTGTATCAGAACGACCCAGTGTATCTAGAAAACGTCTACTGACGGCAGCCCCTTCCAGTTGCAAGTCCTGATGTCTGTGAGCTTGCCTGTAACTCAATTGGTGTTATGTTTCTTTACCAACTAATGCAAGTAATTTTTTTTCATGTTTGAAAGATGAAGAAAAAGGAGACAAGAGCAATAGCGGTGATAAGGAATGCAAAGCGGAGGAGGCTAAGATGGATGAGGCCAAAGCAGAGGAAGTAAAGACCCAAGAGCCCAAGGTGGAGGAACTAGCCAAGGTCAACGAAGCCGTTACAAGCAAGACCCAGGCAAATGAAGACCAGGGTGATGAAGCCAAAGCCGCCGATATGACTACAGTTGACGATGCCCTAAGGGATGTGTCTAGTGAAGGCAAGGCTGAAGCTGAAGCAGAGACAGCCAGTGTGGAAAAGGAGAAGGAGCCACTCTTCGAAATTCTTACTAGGCAGACTTATCCACAAAGAGTGAAGCATTCACAGATGCAGAACACAGTGAAGAAACCTGTAGAGCAGGAGGTGTCTAGAGTTATTACCAGAGAAGGAACTGTTGTAAAATATATGTTGGATGGGTCCACGCAGGTATATTAACAGAATCCATTGGCCGTTGGCTTAAATTTAGTGTTGTTTTTAAAAGAAATGTGATATACCCAAAGCTCAAAATGCTGAGTAAACTGGAACCTAATTAACCTCTGCTAGTTATATTGATTATAGAATACTTAATCATAATTAAGGCGGAGAACGTGGACGTGGGAGCACGCAATCCGGCAGAGGGGAAGGGAAAGCAGGAGCACATAGCCCAGCAGAGACGGAGAGAAGCGGGAGTACACAGTCCGGCAAAGGAGAGAGCCAGGCGGGAGTATAGATTCTAGGGTAGAGGGGAGCAGGAGCATACAGTCCGATGGAGGGGAAAGAGGAGCTTGAATACACCGTCCAGCAGAGGGGAAAGAGGAGCAGGAGCACATGGCCGACGGAAGGGGAGAGAGGAGCAGGAGCATACATTCTGGTGGAGGGGAGAGAGAAGCAGGGATACACAGTTCGGCAGAGGAGAAAGAGGAGTGGGAGCACACAGTCTGGGAGAGGGGAGAGAGGAGCAGGAGCATACAGAGTCTGGTGGAGGGGGGAGAGGAGTGAGAATACACTGTCTGGGGTGGGGGGCAGGAGCATGGTCTGGCACAGGGGAGGGGGGAACAGGAGCACACAACCTGGCAGAGGGGAGCAGGAGTGGGAACACACTAGAATTTGGCATTACCCAAACAATCCTTGGGCTTGTATGCTCCCTCTCCATCTTGTGCTCCATTTTACTCTCCTTTTTTGCCACAGTCAAATCAGCTAACTGGTTTAGAAACTCAGACCGATTTCCCACAAGCGCTGCTCCACGCTCGCTCTTCCTTTGCCCCGATGGTACATGTCAATTTCACAGAAGCGGCCGCATTTTGCCCCGGCAGCTTCGCGTGATTTTCCCTGCATCTACTCAATCCTGTTTTTTGAGGATTGAGTAGACATGGGGGAAATTGCGCGAAGCTGCGGGGCAAAATGCGGCCGCGCAGCAGCTTGTGTGAAATTGACACGTACCATCGGGGCAAAAGGGAAGAGCGAGCGCGGAGCAGCACTTGTGGGAAATCGGCCTCAAATTTCGGTTTCTAGTTCCGGTTTGAAGGACGCACACAAAATGTAACCTGACAGTTTGAATGTAAGGACAAGTTATGATTTGCCGCAGAGGGAATCTTGAGTGCCTCTAGGTAGAAGGAAAGCACACGAGCCCCAGGTTCATTCATATAATGCCGATGGTTTGAAATTTCATCTGAAGAGCGCCATAGAATGTTGCTGTTGTTGACTGTAATAATTTTAACGCAAAGGTCTTCCCTAGATTCTGTTTGCGGATGGCACCGTGATTAGGAGTCCTGATTCCGGTCCTGTGATGCCGCCTCCCCCTGTGCCGAGTACCCCACAGACCGAGGTCACTCCCGCTGAGCCAACCACCAAGAAGAGTAAGCACCCTTCCCATATTCAGAATGAACCACGACAGGCATGAGCTTTCCTCGTAGTTTCCGCTTCAGATTTTTCTCGCTAGCAAGAAAAGCCAGCGTGGCGTAATGGTTAAGAGCAGCAGACTCTAATCTGGAGAACCAGGTTCGATTCCCCACTCCTTCCCGTGAAGCCTGCTGGGTGACCTTGGGCCAGTCACCAGTTCTCTCAGAACTCTCTCAGCCCCACCTGCCCCACAAGGTGCCTGTTGTGGGGAGAGGAAGGGAAGGCAATGGTAAGCCGCTTTGAGACTCCTTCGGGTACAGAAAAGCAGGGTATTAAAAAAAACCCCCAACTCTTCTTCTTCTGTTAGGCTCCATCGATGTGCACGTGCCTGACATGAACTTGGCCCACCCCACGGATTCTGTGCCGGGCAGGACAGTCCCTGCCGCTGCCACCTGGCTCTTTGCTTCTAACTAGCCCCATACTAAATGTCCGTGGGGTTTGGGGTTTCATTGTGAATGTTGCTGCTTTGGAGAAACAAGCTCCTTTCAAGAGATAAACTACCCCCTTGCAAAAAAGCCACTTCCCATGCTGAAAAGTACACGGTGTGCTCCCTCCCCCTATCTCGAAGATCCAGGAATAAAAATTTAAACCACATTCATATAAACAAACACACATTCGTTTCCAAAGGAGAGAATCATCTTTGAGGGGAACAAATCGACAAGGCGAGCTTTGGCTTGTGAAAGATTAGACCCCTGGTAGCTGGTCTTCAAGGTGCCCCTGGCCTCAGATTTGGTTCTTCTAGTACAGGCTAACACAGCTACCCTAAACACAAGGGCCAATACACATGACCTGACGCGTTTCTTCCCTATTGGAGCCTTCTTCAGCAATAAGATAACCAATAAGTGAATAATGGAGCTGCGGTGGCTCAAGTGGTTAAGACGCTGAACTGCAGGCTGTGGAAGGTCGGTAGTTCAGCAGTTCGAGACCCGAGTGTGCCACATGACGGAGTGAGCTCCCGTCTCTGGTTCCAGCTCCTGCCAACCTAGCAGTCTGAAAGCAAGAAATTGCAAGTAGATAAATAGGTACCACTTCGGTGAGAAGGGAACAGCGTTCCGTGCGCCTTGGTGTTTAGTAATGCCGGCCACATGACCACGGAAACATCTTCGGACAGCGCTGGCTCTTCGGCTTGGAAACGGAGATGAGCACCGCAACCCTAGAGTCGGATTCGACTGGCTTTCGAGCAAGGGAACCTTTACCTTTGTTCACTTATTGGTTATCTTATTGCAATATGTATTTAAGTTATGTGTACCTCAATATTGTTTGACCTCTGAAGAAGGCCCCAATATGCAGAAACACATCAGGTCATGTGTCTTGGCCCTTGTGTTTAGGCTATAGTTTTCCACGAGGCTTTCATTGGGCCCTTATGCATGTTTTTAACTGTCTTTCTAATAAATACTTGTATTTTTGTATAAGTTTTAACTAGGTTTTTAATATTGGCCCTTCCTTAGACTTCCTTCTCACCCTTTCGGTTCTTGATTTCCAGTTTTTGGGTCAGGTTTGTTTTCCTCTCCCTGTGTCTTACTAACACAGCTACCCACCTGAAACAGTCTTCAATGGGACTCGTACATAGTCTTCCCAAAGAGGTAGATGAATTAATAAGAAGTTGAAGTCTGAAGGCAGTTCATTGTTCACGTGAGCTTTGAAATGCTGGCTCTTGTTTTCTTGCTGTTCTAAAGAGTTAATTGCACAGAGTCATCTTAATCTGGGCTAGTTTTAAATAAAGGTGCAGATGAAGTTCATATGAATAATAGAGTCTTAAAGTGGAATGTAATCTCTAAGGGAGGTCTTCCCAGAGATGAGGTGAGGTACATAAGAACATAAGAGACGCCAATGTTGGATCAGGCCAGTAGCCCATCCAGCCCAACACTCTGTATCACACAGTGGCCAGAAATATCAGTGCCAGAAATACCAGGTAGGAAGAGGTTGAGATCCAGTAGTGGTTGTTGGTCACAAAGGCTTTAAAGGCCATCTTAGTTAATCAGCAAAGTCAGTATTGGTTCCAAATTAAGAATAGGTATTCTGTCAAAAAAGGTATCATAACATTTCTGAGCTCTGTAGAATGGCGCTTCCTCTTAAAGGCCTGGCTCATCTAGAATACGAACACTCTCCTTTTAGCCTCATGCAAATCAGGTGTATAGCAAGAGTTGAGTTCAGTAGCACCTTAAAGACCAACACGTTTATCGGGGTGTAAGTCTTCAAGGGTCAAATTAGGAATGTAGTGGCTTCAGTGATGGCCCTAAGGACATTTTTAGCAGCTGTATGCACCAAAGGCACAGTCCTGTCTTGCACCTCCCAGTTTTATGGGGGAAGACCAAGCTGCAGCTCCAGGTGGTAATCCTAGACTCTAGGTCCTTCTTCCACCCAGTCCCAGGATAAAGGAGCCTTTGATCTGGAATAGTCAGGTACTCTGGGGGTGGGGGTGGACACACCACTTCCCTACCCAATGTTTGTACTTGGCTATCCAAGAGCCAGTTTGGTGTAGTGGTTAAGAGCGGCGGACTATAATCTGGAGAGCCGAGTTTGATTCTCCAGTCCTCCACATGCAGCCAGCTGGGTGACCTTGGATCAGTCACAGTTGTCTCAGAGCTGTTCTCTCAAGAGTAGTTATCTCAGTGCTCTCTCAGCCCCACCTACCTCACAGGGTGTCTGTTTTGGGGAGAGGAAGGGAAGGAGATTGTAAGCCACTCTGAGACTCCTAGTATAAATCCAATCTCCTCCTCCTCTTCTTCTTCTTACCCCCCTTTACACCCTATCCATTGTCCTCTGGAGTAACTTGGGTGAAACACAGCCAGCTCAGGAACAGCCCAAACAGGGCTTTGTTCTGGAGGAACGCACCGGGACAGAGTTCGGGAACCTCTTCGACAAAATTCTTTCTAAAATATTTTAAAGTTCATGAGTTTTCAGTATACAGATTGAAAACCATTTCCCTCTTAAGAGTTCCGGCTCCTCTCCCCCCCCCCAAAAAAAAAGCCCTGAGCCCAAAGGAATACAAATTCCCCCCTACCTAATCCGTCTGTATTAATATGCCTTCACATGGCAGAAAGAGCCGTCACTGGGGGAAAGGGAGGTTTCTGCCCTTTATCTAACACCAGAAATAATGGTACTTGACATGCTGTCATTCTCAACGATTAATCTTCCTTTTCTTCTTCTGACTACCTAGAGAAAGGCACCAAGGGTGCCAAGACCGAAGCAATTGAAATAGTTGTTCTGGATCACATGCTGGATAGCGAACAGTCCCCCGACTCCCTGGCAGGCACCTGGATAACCACGACCCCACTGGGTGTTCAAGTGGGCACCAAGGGGTCCGAGAGGCTGGATCTGAAGCCACTTCTGGCCTACCGGGCCACTGATCCAGTGAATGAGACGGTAAGGTCACAGGTCCATTTCTAATGTATTCTGAGATTTCTGAATTGTCATCACAGACGTCAGTGGTGTCGTGGGGCTTTCCTCCTACATGTGTCTTCATGTATTTCTCCTCTACAGTTAATGGTGCAAGAGTACTATTTTTTTAAGGAGGGGGAACTCTGTGTGTGTGTGCGTGTGTGTGTGTGTGTTAAATACTGGGTTCCATGGATGGTCTGACCCCAAGCCTAGTGATCAGCTCTGCTTGATTAGTGATTCAGCAAGAAAAGACCCAGGGCAACAGCCCTGTTTTAAGAGCATGCAAACTCCGCCCACTTCCCACACAACCCCCAATGACAGGCTATTGTCAGAACCATTCATTCCTCATTGGCCACCCCCAGAGTCCTGTTGGGCTATTGTTCTAGAGCTCCAAGCTCAGCCAGTCTCTGGTAGAAACAGTCCTGGAATGTTCCAGTCTCAGTACATAACTCTGTGTGTGTGTGTGAGAGAGAGAGAGAGAGAGGCCATAAAGTTCCTTCGAACTTATGGAGACCCTATGAATTGATGACCTCCAGAACTCCCTATTGTTCACAGCCGTGCTCAAGTCTTGCCGACCGAGCTTCCTTGACTGAGTCCACCCATCCCACATTGCCTCTTCCTCTCTTCCTGCTGCCTTCAACTCTTTCCTAGCACCGTTGTCTTTCACAGTGGCTCTCGTCTTCTCAAAATGTGACCGAAGCACGATCGCCTCCGTTGGGTCATTTTAGCTTCTAGGGAGAGTTCAGGTTTGGTTAGAACCAGAACCCACTCATTTGTCTTTCCGGCCGTCCACGGTATCCGTAAAACTCCGCTCCAGCCTACCCTCCCGGAACAGGTACCATTTTTATTTCCGACCGTCATGTCCAAAGTTCCATCCATCTGTAACATTTCATCAGTAGTCTTTCTGTCATTTCAGGTCATGACGATGAGGGAGGACAGGGTGGTCATAGTCGAGGGGACAGATGGTTCCAGGATAGTGGACCATGCCGACGGCACCAGGATAACCACCTTCTTCCAGGGCTGTGATGAAATCGTGCCCAATAGCAGTGAGGACCCAGGTACAAACAAGGGGGGCAGTTGTCGTGCAGGTCTGGGGTCTCATCACCAGGAGGCAGGCATACACTGATGTTGGTGTGTTAAGGTAAAGAGCTGTCAGCGGCACCACCTGACCCTCTGGCGAGGGGACAGTGACCTCTTGGGTCTCAGGGCTTGCAGTCACTTAGCAAGGGACAGGCCTTTTTTCTTTTTTTTTAAATCCACCTTGCCTCCGATTGATCCTTTAAGAGAACATAAGAGAAGCCAGTGTCGGATCAGGCCAAAGGCCCATCCAGTCCGACACTCTGTGTCACACAGTGGCTGTATTTGGATGAGAGACCTCCAAGGAATAGCAGGGGCGTGACACAGAGGCAGGCCGGCAATTGCATATCACCTCTGAAACGTCTGCCTTTAAGAAACAAAGTCTGGCTGCACCCCTAAAGGCTGCTTCAGTGTATCAGGACCAAAACATGCCTCTTGGCATTGAAGCAGCCTTTAGGGGTGCAGATTAGAGCTAAGGAGACCTTGCCCAATGAGTAATACAAAACCATTATCTTAAAAGGAGATGGAATGAGACACTCAGTAGTTGTTCTCTGTTCCTGAGGAAGGACCAAAAGTCTGAAACACGGGAAAAGTTACCTAGGAAAAGCGTTGGGCTTCTTGGATATTTATCATAAGAACAGAAGAGACGCCAATGATGAATCAGGCCAAAGGACCATCCAGTCCAACACTCTGTCACACAGTGGCCAAAAATACCAGGTGCCATCAGGAGGTTCACCAGTGGGGCCAGGACACTAGGAGCCCTCCCACTGTTGCCCCCCCCCAAGCACCAAAAATACAGAGCATCACTTGCCCCGGAGTCCCTATCTATACCTTATGGCTAATAGCCACTGATGGACCTCTGCTCCATATATTTATTATCTAATTCTCTCTTGAAGCCGTCCATGCTTGTAGCCGCCATCACCTCCTGTGGCAGTGAATTCCATGTGTTAATCACTCTTTGGGTGAAGAAGGACTCCTTTTATCTGTCCTAACCCGACCGCTCAGCAGTTTCATTGAGGGCCCACGAGTTCCGGGCTAGTTTTAAATAAAGGTTCAGACAAAGTCCGTATAAATAACAGAGTCTTAAAGTGGAATGTAATGTACATTAACCATTCCCTGTCTTCTTTGCTCTTTGCTGCTGTTTCGATTCCTTTCTAGTCTGTGAGACACAGACAGTGTTCTACTTGTAAATAATTGCAAGGATATTTGGCTAACATAGCAGAGCTCGCCCGGTCGTAGAAGTATGACATTGCGTGCAGAAAACAAACCTCCCAAGAAGTGTATTGCAAAAGTGAAACTTAACATTTATTCAGACCAACACGTCTGCCCACCTGGATCTGTAGATATGATAAAACTTAGGTCATCTTTCGTAGACAGGGTCATTCTTGCTGCACTGCCACGAGCAAATGAGATACCATTTGCCAGCCGTCCAAACGCCCTATATATAGCTAGTATCCAACTTTATGTATTTAGAACCCCCTGCTCCGGATGGTCTAGGCTAGCCCCATCTTGTCAGAAGTTCTCAGAAGTTAAGCAGGGTCAACCCTGGTTAGAATTTGGATGGGAGACCGCCAAGAAAGTCCGGGCTCACTGCAGAAGCAGGCCCCGGCCGAGCACCTCGGAACGTCCCTTGCCTCGAAAACCCTACGGGGTCGCCGTAAGCCGGCTGCGACTTGACGAGCCCTTTCCACACGCGCATCCTAGCGCTACATATAAAGGTTCAAACAATTTATCGTATCCTTTCATATCTTCAACCTGCTCAACACTGACTTCCAAAAAGGTGTTTATCTCCAAAGATTATGCAAGATTTTTCAATACCCAACTTCAGTTTCCACTTAGGATCATAGAATCGTAGAGCTGGAAGGGACCTCCGGGGTCATCTAGTCCAACCCCCTGCACAAAGCAGGAAATTCACAAATACCTCCCCCTCCCCACCCCCAGTGACTGCTGTTCCACACCCAGAAGATGACAAAAAAACCCTCTAGGGTTGCTTCCTGACCCCAAAGTGGCAATCAGCATTTCCCTGGGCGTGTAAGAAAGGGCCACAAGAATTGAGCACTGCTACAGGCTTGATACATGTTGTTGTTGTTGTTCAGTCGCAGTCGAGCACCCTCCCTGCCCTCCCTTCTCATGATCTGCCCACGTTCACACAATCAGCAGTGCTGTCAGATGGCCACCTAGCCTCTGTTTGAAAACCTCCAAAGAAGGAGAGCCCACCACTTCCCGAGGAAGCCTGTTCCACTGAGGAACACATTAGAAGCCCTCCCACTGTTGACCCCCCCCCCAAGCACCAAGAAGACAGAGCATCACTTGCCCCAGAGCATCACTTGCCCCAGAGACTTGTTGAATCTTCCCTTGTTTTTCACAAGTCCAACACGCTGTTGCTGCAGCAACTATGTACTCAAAAATCTTCCAACTCTGCAGACTTCTGAACTGGAAGGCCCAGTGCTTGGATACAGTAGAAGGCACCCGTCCAAGGACTAACCAGAGCCAACCCTGCTTAGCTTCTGAGATCTGATGAGACTGGGCTAGCTAAATCTCCTTTCTTTATTACGGTAGGTGTTGCCCATGAACAAAGGCCACCTCTTCATTGATGAACATTGTACTGCGGTTTACTCACCAGAGGCATTTGACAAAAATGGATGTGAGCTCATTGCCAATAAGGAGGACCACGAGACAGGGAGATACATTATGAAGCATAACTCCAACATTGCCTGCAAGATGACGGATCCTGCAGGAAACATTTTCAAGGTAAAATACTAAACGTTGTAGTCGAGATCATTTGCATGCTTTTTCTTTTCTTTTACAAGCTCGGCTTTACGTTGGAGACGACTTGATGAAAGGGTTTTTGACTGATGAATCAGACAATTTTTTTAACCCTGAGACAAATTTAAATAAGTGTGTATGTGCCCGGAATAATGATACAAGTGAGTTCTTGAGGATACAGTTTCTCTTAAGAATGAGATAACGTATCGATGAGTGAACAAAGGCTACTGCCCCATTTTAAAGAGGAAAGGTCTCGGATAGTCTCTCTCTCTCTCGGTAATCTGGATTATAGATTGTATCCTATCACATCAGATACACTAGAGCCAGAATAGCTCAAAAATGGGAGAGAAAAGGTTACTCGGGACTTTTTTTCTGGGGGAATGTGCCAGATGAACAACAACAACAAAAGGTGCTACTGGACTCTTGCTCTTGTCTACAGGCAAGGTCTGCAATTTCAAGTACTTCGTCCATATTGATAACTAATATTAATTTATCTGAAAATGACTACTATATAAAACCTGTCTTCTTTGCAGTTACAAACTTATTTGCAGTTTGTTGGAAATATGTGTGTGTTGCAAGGTCTAATTCAGTCATTATAGGGTTAATCTGTTTACCTCGTGTGCTGTTGTTTAGGGGGCTTTGATGGTCCATGCCCATATCCAGCTGTCCATATACCGGAAATTCCGGGGATTCCAGGAATTCCAGGGCGTTGATGGTATACTGATGCGTTGGTGGTATACTGGTGATGGTGGCGGCTCCTATTCAAAAGTCTGGTGGTTCTTGTTGTGAGACCGAGTGGTCAGTCTGTTCTGTAGCTGTAGAGATGTAGCCTTAGGTCTGCTATTTTGTAGATTTTCCTGTGTACCCTTCCCTTAGAAATAAAGATTTTTACACAGAAAGAAATGCCTCCTCTCCAGTGAAGCAAAGATCCATTGCAAACTCTGAACCTCTAAGCATTATTGCCAATTTTTCCAACAGAAATAGCTATTTCTAAGAAATTG